AGGCCTTTTCTGCCTTGTTAGTCGTCATCGGCTAGTGATACCCAACCCCAGTGTGGCCGTTGAAATTGCTGCCACACCGAGATTTGAACTTGCGATCTCTGCCGTCAGGGCGAACGTCCTAACAGTTGAGCTACGAGCCCACGGTCTCGTTGGTATTAGATCGGGAATATACAGTAGCATAGAAGTATTATTTTACTCGTGCACAGAAAAGTAACGCTGGAGTCGAAGGAGACTGGAATAGCCCTTTAGCCGTTGTCACGAGCCATACACAACTTCAGAGTTGCGGCACCTGCAGCATATTATAAACCACCTACGAGGCCAAAGCGTAACTTTCATTAAATGTCAGCGCTGATTTTGCGGAGAAATATTATACGTGTGTATACTAGTTGAAAGTACACGTGATGTTTGAGGCTGGAGCTAATGTTTTTATAAAGTTTTTACATAATCCGTACATAGAGTCCTTTAATGGAGCTGTGCAGGTAGCGTCATATTTAACTTAAATTAAAGGCAGCCGGTTTAGTTACCATTGGTTCGTCTGTTGTTTTCTGAAATTGAACTAGTCGCACGCGAGTGACATTATGTCCGTTTTCGGGTTCAGCCTCATCGTCGTCATCACCATTTGCGGAGAATGTGGGCGGTGGAGTGACACGGACAGCATTCTCGCCGTACACATCATGCGCCACAACGTCGTGCGTCCGTAGTAGTGCCTAAAAGTTGGAAGTTAAGTTTTCCTCGACTGTGTGCAGTTGGTAAAAACCTGGTTAAGTCACCGTTAATCTTTTATGGCACAGGCTACGAGAAAATACGGTATGCACGACAGGGTTACTTGCTTACACCTTTTTTATTTGCAGTGTGTTTGACAAGGAGACAGATCTCTAACTTTTATACTCACTCTCTGCTAAACCGCTTTTGTTCTGTTCACTTCGTAAACTTATGTAGACGGGCTGAAATTTAACACAACTAGGATAAGTGTTAGGAAGAGTGCGCACGAAATTATATAATTGACAGAAGAAAATGCAGCTATACACTAACTAGCTTCCATTAGAATGCCGTGATTAGAGCAGCAAATACGGAGAGTTAGGTAAGCATATTTTGAACTAGCTTGTTGAAATAAGTATCGTTAATGACGGCAGACCAATACTGACTTCTGCCTCATTTTTCCCGATTTTTTACAAAACTCTGCAACTTAGGAATTTGTAACAACTTTAATTTAAGGATGAATAATAAGACCAACCTTAAGATGAGCGGATGTTAAAATAAATCGCAATTCGTCGACATCAGCCTGGTACTCCGCAGATACGTTGGCATGTAGTTCTTCGAGAACCTTGAAAATGTAATATTGTAAACGTAACAAGTCTGGATCTTCCAGGTCAGGGTGCGGAATCATTCAAAAATGGTAGCAAAATGTTTGATTAGGCAAAATATACGCAAAGACGGTACAAGTGAATACGTTTCAAAACATTTAACATCCCTTTGCACGCTCAAACATTGTTACTGAAATAATCTCCGACAATACTATGCCAGGAAGCAGGAAAAAAAAATTATT